GTGCGGCAAGTCCAGACACAAATGGACCGATTGTTGGTCCAGAGAACCTACTGTAGCACGAGTGGCAGCAGTGAGGGTACAAAAGCGGAAACGAGGAAATGGCAAGACCAATCCTCAGAAGAAAGCTAAGGTGGCTGCGGTTGTAGCAGAGGAACCACTTGTTGTACTCCCAGAGGTGACAGAAGATTTCGTCTTTCAGCCTGAGCAAGACTCGGACAATGAAATCATCTGGTAGAAATGTCTTGTTTAGAGTCTATGTTTACTAGTTTTCCTTTGGGTCTCGATTTCTTTGTTTCTCTTGAATAAATTTTTTGTGTTTTTTCGCCTATTTGATTGTTTCCAAGCACTCTGAGGATGGGTTTATGACCCGAAACAGCTGGTCTGTAAGTGTTCTGCCAAAGTTACATTTTGCTACAAGACACTTCCAGCCCACTACCAGACTTCCACACAATACACTTGCTATATTATTGCTTGGGAATAGAACCAAAGGATCTTTTGATCTTAGTAGTGCCCGCAGCTATTAGCAATGGAGAAAAGACAAAGAGAATCAAGCCCAGAACCCGCACAGAAGCGAAGAAGAATGGAACAGAAGCTTCCATCCTTACCAGTACATGGCAAGAGGCCAATACTGGAAGCAGAACTGTCATGGACGGTCAAGAACAAAGTTGAAGACGCCCAAGGGACATTCCTCTTTGACACCGGTTGTACAGGAGCAATCCTCAACCAGAGTTTTGTCAGGAAGCATGGAGTTCCCTTAGTGCGGCGAGATCAACCTCTGACAATGTATGATGCTCAAGGAGATGTCATGATGGGCGGAGGAGAGTATTACACTCACCCAGTCCACATGAACATGGGAGATCATAAGGAGACACTCCGATGGGAAGTGGCTACTTTGGAAGAAGGAATATCAGGTTACCTGCCAATTGCATGGGCAAGGACGCACAACCCGGATATCAATTGGGAACTCAATACCATAAGCTGGCGAAGTGACTACTGCAAGCAGAATTGTCTCCCAGCAGCAATCAAGTTTGAACTCATCTCTTCATACCAGATGATGGAAGAAGAAGATGTAGTATATCAACTGGCTGCTTCAGTATGGCATGATGAGGATGGAGGAGATATCGCAGAAAGGATACCTCTCCGCTATAGGGAATGGGCTGATGTCTTCAGTCAAGAGAAGATACAGGAACTGCCTCCGCACTCCCGAAATGATTGAAGATCAATCTCTTGTCTGGTACCGCTCCCCCATTTGGCCCCTATACCCATGTTCCGCTCCAGAGCTGAAAGCCCTCCGAGAGTACCTGGACAAAGAGTTGTCTTTAGGAAAGATCTCTAGATCTAGCAGCCCAGCAGCGGCGCCCATATTGTTCATACCTAAGAAGGATGGGACATGGCGAATTTGTGTTGATTACAGAGGGTTGAACAAGGTCACTGTCAAGGACAAGTATCCGCTGCCTATCATGAGTGAGCTCAGGGATAGGTTGTTTAAAGCCAAGATCTTCACAAAGATAGACCTGAAGAATGGCTTCAACTTGATCAGGATAGCAGAAGGTCATGAGTGGAAAACCGCTTTCAGAACCCGCTATGGACTGTATCAGTACAATGTGATGCCATTCGGTCTATGCAACGCCCCTTCCGCCTTCCAGGCAATGATCAATGATGTGCTAAAGGAACTACTGGATGAAGGAGTGGTTGTCTATATCGACGACATCCTCATCTACTCAGAGACCGAGGAAGAGCATGAAAGGCTGGTTGAGAAGGTTCTACAGAAGCTCAGAGAAGCAAAACTGTGTGCCTCGATCAGCAAGACATCCTTCCATGTCCGAGAAGTAGAATATCTTGGCTACCACATCTCGGAAAGGGGAGTATCTATGTCAGAGGACAAGGTAGAGGCGGTTCAGGAATGGCCAGTACCCCGAAATATTAAGGGAGTGCAAGGTTTCCTGGGATTTGCAAACTTCTATCGCCGCTTTATTGAAGGCTTCAGTAAAGTTTGCAAACCATTGACCGACCTCTTGCAAAATGACAAGAAATGGTATTGGACCGCAGCCTGTGAACAAGCATTTGAGGAACTCAAGAGGCTATTCACAAGCGCTCCAATCCTTCTCCATTTTGACCCTAGCAGAAGAACTGTGGTCGAAACTGATGCCAGTGACTTTGCCAAAGGAGCGGTGCTCTCTCAGTATGGGGCAGATGGGAAACTACACCCGGTAGCTTTCTATTCTAAGAAATTCTCCCCGGCTGAGATCAACTATGACATTCATGATAAGGAAATGGGAGCTATTGTAGCATCTTTCCGGGAATGGGAGCATATACTCAAGAGTTGCGAGCAGGAGATCACGGTTTTCACAGACCACAAGAATTTAGAGTACTTCAACTCTACCAAGGTTCTCACTAGGCGGCAAGCTAGATGGTCTGAGGACCTAGGAGGCTACAATTTCAAAGTTGTCTACAGACCGGGAGAAAGGAATGGCAAACCTGATGTGCTATCAAGGCGTTGGGATCACCGCCTGAAGAGGGGGGTGAAACCTTGCGGCCGGAGCCACAGATGTTTTTTAGGCCAGGTCAATTGGTTTTGGATCCTGTTAAGCTAGCGGCTGTCAGGGTGAATCAATTGCAGAACACATTCTTAGAGCGCCTATGTATGGCAGCTAAAGAGGATGGAATCTGGCAGGAACTGCACCGCTCCCTGGTTGAAAGGAAACCAAACTTGGACCAGAACTTGTCTGTCAAGGACGGCCTCATCTTCTACAAGAATCGATGGTATATTCCCAAAGACAAGAAACTCCAGATGGATATCCTGACCGATACCCATGACTCTAAAGTGGCGGGCCATTTCGGTCAGTTCAAGACATTAGAGCGGGTAAAAAACAACTTCTTTTAGCCCAACATGGATAAAGATGTTGAGGAATATGTCCGGAGCTGCGACAGCTGCCAGAGGAATAAGACCTCAAGACATAAGAAGTTCGGTATGCTCCAACCACTGGAGATACCTTATCGGCCATGGACTTCCATCTCTATGGACTTTATTGTGGGATTACCGGAGTCCAATGGGTTTACAAAGATCTGGGTAATAGTGGACCGCTTCTCAAAGATGGCACATTACATCCCACTTCCTACACTCAACAAAACGGAAGATTTGGCTAAGTTGTTCTTGAAGGAGGTCTGGAGACTCCATGGGTTACGTGATGACATAGTCTCGGACAGAGACAGCAGGTTCATTTCTCATTTTTGGCAATCTCTCATGAGCCTCCTCAATGTGAAGCTGAAGATGTCCACTTCTTTCCATCCCCAAACGGACGGCCAAACAGAAAGAGTTAACCAGACCCTGGAGCATTACTTGCGGAGTTATTGTTCATATCAACAGGATGACTGGGCAAACCTCTTGCCTTTGGCAGAGTATGCATATAACTCGGCGGTTTCTGAGTCTACCAAAGTATCGGCTTTCTATGCCAACTATGGATATGAACCCAGAACCAACTGGCCGGCCCCAAAGGAAGGTGTTGAATGGAACAATCCAGCAAGCGAGGTCATGGTATCTCAATGGGAATCTATCTGGCAGGCTATGAATGCAAGCTTGGGAAAGGCTAGACTAAGGATGGCCCGGTGGTATGATGCACATGCCCTGGCACCCCCTGAAATCAAGCCTGGAGATGAAGTTATGTTAGACCGGCGCAATGTGCAAACAAAGCGGCCATTGGGAAAATTGGATCAGAAGAAGATGGGACCCTTCAAGGTCTTAGAAGCTATTGGTACCCGTGCCTACAAGCTCTCTCTTCCCCCGCAAATGGGAATCCACCCTGTCTTCCATGTCTCTCTCCTAGAACCCTATAGAGCACCAATAGATCCTGAGAGAAGAGTTCCCCCACCGGAACCTGAGGAGATTACAGGAGAACAAAACTGGATCGTCCGGGAAGTAGCTGATAGCCGAGTCAATAAGAAGAGGAGAAGGGTGGAATACCTGGTGCTGTGGGAAGGATATGAGAATGAGGACGCTACATGGGAACCCTGGGAACATCTCAGGAAGAGTGCTGAAGAAGCCCTCCGGGATTTCCATATGAGGTACCCTAAGAAGCCCAGAGATAAGAGGGCTCTAGGCCAGTAGCATTTCCTTTAAGATCCTCGTCCCCTTCCACACCAAAGGAGTTTCCTTGTCATATAGTATTGCATAGATAAATAGATACAGATTATAGATCTCGGAGACCAAGATCCTGGAAGAGGGGAGTAGTGTAACGGAGCCATTTCAACTGTCTGGTGTATGAGTACACACAGGGCCCGGTTACATGCTGAGAGTTATTGTTAGAAGCCAGTTGCACAGTGACATGCAAGTACCGGCAGTGTGGTTAGCTACCAACTGTCAGAGTAACTACATTCTGAGCGCTAGGAAGAGGATCTACTCATGGGAGCAATGACTGACGAGTCTGTGCCTCGCCAATGATTAGAAAGCTAGCCAGAGTGAAGCTCTGAGTGCTCAGCGATCCTCCACATCCTCTGAGCATTAGAAGTCCGCCAGCAGTGGAAGAGACTATGCCTGGGAAGTCTACAATAAGCGGAAGCTCTACAGCAGTGATTAAGCTTACACCTGAGCGGCAGCTCATTCATGCAGGCCCCTAGTTGTGTGGCAACAAAGGCTGCAGGTGTTACAAAGGCTTTGACTAAGGGTGGTTGCCTTCGGAATCGGAAGCACTCGCTGACGCTTAGAGAGAAGCGGGGTAGCGATGGTATTGCTTCCCTTCCACTAGAAGGCAGCACCGGAACTTAGTAAGGAAGTAGGAGCAGAGAATAGAATCCTTTGGAGTATAAGTACTCAGGATCATTCCCGCCCAACCGACCTGATCCTCATCTGGGGGTAGACCATTATCGGTAGCAGAGCCCTTAAAGATTATTGAGTTCTAAGCGATAGTATCTTTGAATAAATCTGCACCTGATTTCTATCTTGCACGGCCACATCTTTCTATCGGATTCTAGCGATACGTGGAAAGGCTGTCCCCGTTACAAGCATGATCGATATTCCTGCAGAGGATTCGGATTACGAGGAGGGAAAGCACCGGATAAATGCCAAAGGACTGAGGGTATATATGCCTAGAACTGATGCCAGTAATCAAAGGCTAATTCAGACTCGTGTTAGGCCTCGCGATAGACAGCAGGATGCTATCGACGATTTAGACCCCAAATACCTTAGGAAGTATCCTTTGGATGTCGGGGTTGCTGACCCAAACTTCTTACAGGGGACGATCTGGACACCTGCCGGGATAGCAGCCAAGAGAGCTGCTGACGCACTCCCGGCTGCTGGTGCTGGAGGTGGTGGTGGCGGTGGTGGTGGAGGTGGTGGAGGTGGTGGTGGTGGAGGTGGTGGTGGTGGAGGTGGTGGAGGTGGTGGTGGTGGTGGTGGTGGTGGTGGTGGTCTAGGACCTCCACCGCCTCCGGGTGGACCTCCTCCTCCTCCGGGCGGCGGTGGTGGTGGAGGACCAGCTGGAGGCGGTGGTGGTGGTGGTGGTGGGCCAGCTGGAGGCGGTGGTGATGGTGGTGGTGGGCCAGCTGGAGGCGGTGGTGATGGTGGTGGTGGTGATGGTGGTGATGGTGGTGGTGGTGGAGGACCAGCTGGAGGCGGTGGTGATGGTGGTGGAGGACCAGCTGGAGGCGGTGGTGGTGGTGGTGGTGGGCCAGCTGGAGGCGGTGGTGATGGTGGTGGTGGGCCAGCTGGAGGCAGTGGTGATGGTGGTGGTGGTGATGGTGGTGATGGTGGTGGGCATCATTAGTTCCCTTTGGTATAATCTCTAACTTCCCTTCCTGCGGAATTGTCACTAACCTTTTAATAGTTGTTAGGATTACTTCCTGAACACTCGCGATAGCTATTGAGGTGCGGTACGATTTGGTGTTTTGGATTTCCCTTTGTCTTGCGAGAGTATATCAATGGATGGGTTATATCGGATAGGATTAGATTAGATTAGATTAGATTAGATTATTCCAGGTAGTAATTGCATTGCTTTTATTTCAAAGTCGAATCAAACTCCTAGATTGCTCTCAGAGCACTCGGTACCGCTTCAGAAAGTGCAGTAAAACGAGTGATGATAAATGATGCGGTTGAGTGCAGAAATTGTGGTAACATAGGATGATCCCTGCCGTAAGAGGATTAGCGGTGCAAATTTTTCTTGATTAGCGGCGCAAATTTTCTCGCCAAGAATTGATTTCTAATCGAAGATATCGCGAGTGCTCCTAGAGCACTGCGGATATTCCTGCCAGTAATCAGAATGGCTCCCACCAAGCGCTCCTCCGGTTCAGCACCTCTTGCCCCAAAGCGCCCACGACTCCCAAAACGACCTGAAGAACATGAAGATTTACTGACTGACGAGTCTGAAATATCTTACCGAACATTGACTCCACTGCCAGCCCGCACTCGGAGTAGTCAATCGACCACCGCCGCTCAAATAACTCGGAAAGGTCTTCTCCGTTCCTCCGAAACCCCCACTGGGAGGAGCAGTCCTAGGAGGGTAGAATTTCATCTCCCCGAGGACCATACTGATAATTTTGAAGCGCAGGAGGAGCCTGAGGCAATTGAGGCGCCAGAGGCAATTGAGGCGCCAGAGGTGGAAGAAACTGTTGATACTAGCCACTCAGACTATGATGATGCTCCGGAGAATGACCACGAGAGCTCTGAGGAGGATGAGGATGAACTGGAGGATGAACCTCAAGCCCCACCCCCCATCTTACACCCAGAAGTCTCAGACTGTCAGAAAGAGACCTCATACAGTTCAGCCGACTACTGCCAGAGCACTGGGCAATGCTCGGAGGAAACCAACTGGCGCGGTAGCGGAGGTCATTGCTTCTTCCAACGTGTCGGTGGACGTGGTACAGGTTCGACTCTATCTCGCTCATTGATGCTTTTTAACATGTAAGTATTGGTGGCTAACGATTCAGAGGGGAACTCGACCGGGCGCGAAAGTAATACGTAAACAAGGTCAAGGGAGAGCAGCACCCACTTCAGCACCCAGCCAGAATGCATCCCAGAGAGCACTCCCGGCATCCCAGAGAGCACCCCCAACACCCTCACAGTCTAGGCCCTCTGCACCTGTTTATGCTCATGAGTATACCTCTTCTAAGCGCCATATCGATTTTTCCTCGATGCGCTCTCGATACGGGGAGTCGTCCCCCACTTACCGGACATATCGTTCTTCACCGCCTAGCGAGGTAATTGGCGAGAACTCTGTGAGCAGTCGTCAGATTCCTTCAAGCCAACTTCACGGTCAAGGTAGATCGCGAAGAGTCTACGAAATCGAGTACCTTCCCTCATCTAGGGAGGAGGACGAGAGTACTCCGATGCCGGAAAGCGAGGGTATTTTGATTCCGGGAAGCGAGGTTAGTATTCCGGAGGACACTCACGACGTCTTTGAGAACACTGGCGACATTCCTTCGAGCCAATTGACTCAGAGGTCTGTGGTCCCTAACTCTAGGAGTGCAAATGTGCTGTCAGTGCAGGCTCAGAGGATTGAGAAGGAGTGTAGCGTGTTAATCGGGGAGCATACTCTTCTACATGAGCCCTTTCCACCTGCAGCAAGACTTTCGGTACTGGTAGTGAGCATGTGGGCAACTGCTAGTCGCCGAGTGGGGTGTAGAGTAGACCTTGATGAGGTCGTTATTAAACAGGTGAGTGCCCCCAAAAGGATTACGAGTGCTCTGGAAGCATAATTGAGAATGATAGGTCAGAAGTCTGCACTCCCGTATCCGTTCCCACTTGATGCACGAGGTGAAAGGGCGCCTGGCAGACTCTTCGATATACGGGCTTGGAAATTTTGTGGGGCCTGAGGCGAGGGCGGCTCAAGTGGAATATCTTTTGAAGAATGATCGTTTCTTGAGCCCCCAACAGCATTACGAGGTATGATGCCAGTGGATGCCCAGAGAGCACTCGGGATAGCCGGTAACAGATTCTAGACCTACCGACTGCGCTTCCTGGCTCCGGAAATTATCGATATATTGTATTTTAAATACTTTGATGGGGTAAGAATGCGAGGGGTTAGGGATCCCGAATTTCTAGAGCGGATAACCCCTACCCTTATTTGCCTGATATTGACGGCGATCTGGCACGGCATTCGGGCGTGGTCAACAGGGAGTTACGTGAAGCCTGATAATTTTCACTCGCAGAATGAGAGTGTTGTGAGTAAGTATGGCCCGATGCCCTCATTGATATGGCGAGTGCCTTGGGAGCAATGACGGATGCTCCTAGGGCTATACGGGATTGCCAAGCTGACATCTAAACACGAGTAGAAACGTTCAACAGGATGAGCAACACTTGGAAGGGGAGAAGTAAACAGAACCAGGAGGCAATCTTGGAGGTAATCAAAGATAACCTTCGAGAAAAGGTATGATACTTCTAGATGCCGGTAATGCGAGTGGTATTCTAAATGCTAACCCTAATAGATACGAGATAAAAAAGGGGTAACGATTGAGATTATACCGGAGGAGGGTTTTAGCGAGGACGATGAAGCTCTGGCTGCGGATCTTGCCGCATTCCGAGATGCTCGGAGAACACCCACGAGTGCTCCAGGAGGTCGGGTTGATTCCGACAGCGCCCAGGACGAAGTGATTAATGCCCGACTTCGCGGCATTGACACCGAAGAGGAGGGGGAGGAGGAAGAAGAAGAGCCGGAATTACCTGTAGCGGGGGATTACGAAGGGGGGGGGGAGGAGGATGTGTAGAACAATCACGAGTGCTAAAGGAGATAGTGGGGGATTTCTTCTGATTCGTATATTGTATTAGGGTTAGTTAGGGTGTTAAATGGCGTATTGTATTTAGTATTAGGCGGAGGATCACGGTGTTGAATACACCAATTCTCAAAGTGCAGTCACGAGTGCTCTGGAGACAGTAGAGATCGTCGTGCGAGTGATGTTTTTGTAATCTCATGGGGGAATTGTGAATACCAGAGGCCGGAACGGCGGAGAGGTGTATGCCTAGAGAGAACGGGGCGCCGACAGGTAGGAATCGGTACGTCGGGCATGAGCCAGATTTCAAAGCACCCCATCCGGCAACGTCAGGGGGAGTCAGGGCAATCATTCTATCCCCAGAGCCCGCTGGAGCAGTGAAGAGTGCTCCAGGAGCAGTCAGGATATCCAACCGTGCAACTGGCGTTCTCTAGCGGGTAGAGTGACGTCCTAGTTACACCGGGCGCTATTATTTAGTGTCGGGGCCCGTTGTGCGGACTAGTGTGCGCTGGGGCGGAATAATGTGTGCCAGACCTCGTCAGGAGCACTGGCGGTATCTCTGGAGAGGTAGTTTACCTACCGAGCGCCCTGAGCGCCCTGAGCGGCACGGGCGTCTGGCGAAGGCTACAGGTTTGCTGATGCGTGGACAAATTTTCGTCCGAGTCAAATCTCGCAATCCCTGCCAAGAATGGGTCGGGTTCCTAGGAACTAGCGGAAACAGCCGACCAAATAGCAATTGCTTATTCAGGGTATTTAGAATAGATTTGGGTGTTTGTAAAGTGAAGGTTTGCTTTGGTAGCTTGGGTCTCACTCTTACTCCCCCAAAGATTCACCGGGCTGAAACAGGAAGGTTCCGGTGGTTCGACGCTCCGGGGGTTATTTTTGGAGGTCTAAAACATGTTTATTTTGCAGTGTTTCCTCAACTCCGCAATGCGTTCATTCAACCACCCCAAATGGACCGGAGCATCGCCAGGATCCTTTCTGACGTTTTAAAGCATATTTTCCGGGCATCGGTTGCAAAGTTATTGCGCCTCAAAGGTTGACTGCCAAGGTAGGGTAACTTGTTTAGGGTTACCCTTCCTTATTTGGCATGCTCGTCCTTCTGCTCTAGTTTTTTTGGTCCAGTCGCCTAGCTTGACTTGTAAGACTTCTTGCTCGCCAGGATCCCTACCCTCCATATCAATAGAGGTAGGGGCTCATCTGCCCTTGTCTTCACCCATCAATTAAGAACAAGCTGCGGTCACCCTAGGGCCGTATGGTTTGACTGGTAGAACAGGTACTTTTTTGTAACAGCCCTACTGTGGCCCTGTTACACTAAAGCCATCTCTGGTAGACTCGTCCTGAGTCCAACCTAGGGTTTTTTTGGTATGGTACGTTATGCGCATACAAGAAAATATAGCTCCAATATTGATTCCATACAAACTCTATGTAACGGGGACAGCCTTTCCACGTATCGCTAGAATCCGATAGAAAAGATGTAGCCGTACAAGATAAAAGTCAGGTTGTAGATTATTCCCAAAGATTTATTGCTAATAACTCAATAATCTTTAAGGGCTCCGGCTACCGAGTAGAATATACTTGATAGTTCTGATGAAGACTCAGGATATCGGATAGTTGGGCGGGAAGGATCCTGAGTACTTATACTCCAAAGGACTCCGTTCCCTGCTCCTACTTCCTTACTAAGTTCCGGTGATGCCTTCTAGCGGAAGAGAAGCAATACCACCGCTACTCCGTTTCTCTCTAAGCGTTAGCGGGTGCTTCCGGTTCCGAAGGCAACCATCCTTAGTCAAAGTCTTTGTAACACCTGCAGTCTTGGTTGTCGCACAACCGGGACCTGAATGAATGAGCTACCGCTCAGGCATAAGCTTAATCATTTCTGTAGAGCTTTTTGCTTATTGTAGAATTTCTCAGGCATAGTCCCTGCCACTACTGGCGGACTTATCATACTCGGAGGATGTAGAGGATTGCCGAGCACTCAGGGCTTCACTCCGGCTGGCCTTCTAATCATTGGCGAGGCATGGACTCGTCAGTCATTGCTCCCATGAATAGATCCTCTTCCTAGCACTCAGAATTTAGTTACTCTGATAGCTGGTAGCTAACCACAACTGCCGGTACTTGCATGTCACTGTGCAACTGGCTTCTAACAATAACTCTCAGCATGTAACCGGGCCCTGTGTGTACTCATACATCAGACAGTTGAAATGGCCTCGTTACAGCAGCCTGTGAACAAGCCTTTGACGAGCTCAAGAGGTTATTCACAAGCGCTCCTATCCTTCTCCATTTTGACCCTAGCAGGAGAACTGTAGTTGAAACTAATGCTATTGACTTCAACAAAGGAGCGGTGCTCTCTCAGTATGGTGAAGATGGGAAACTACATTCAGTAGCTTTCTATTCTAAGAAATTCTCGCCCGTCGAGATCAACTATGACATTCACGACAAGGAGATGGGAGCTATTGTAGGCTCTTTCCAGGAATGGGAGCATATGCTTAAGAGTTGCGAGCATGAGATCACGGTTTTCACAGAACACAAGAACTTAGAGTATTTCAACTCTACTTAAGTTCTCACTAGGCGGCAAGCTAGATGGTATGAGGACCTAGCAGGCTACAATTTTAAAGTTGTCTACTGACCGGGAGAAAGAAATGGCAAACCAGATGTGCTATCAAGGCGTTGGGATCTCTGCCCCGAAGAGGGGAGTGAAACCTTGCGGCTGGAGCCACAGATGTTTTTTAGGCCAGGTCAATTGGTTTTGGATCCTGTTAAACTAGCGGCTGTCAGGTTGAATCAATTGCAGAATACATTTTTAGAGCGCATATGTACGGCAGCTAAAGTGGATGGAGTCTGGCAGGAACTGCACTGCTCCCTGGTTGAAAGGAAACCAAATTTGGACCAGAACTTGTCTATCAAGGACGGTCTCATCTTCTACAAGAACCGATGGTACATTCCCAAGGACAAGAAACTCCAGATGGATATCCTGACCGAAACCCATGACTCTAAAGTAGCGGGCCATTTTGGCCAGTTCAAGACATTAGAGCGGGTGAAGAATAACTTCCTTTGGCCCAACATGGATAACGATGTTGAGGAATATTTACAGAGCTGTGATAGCTGTTAGAGGAATAAGCCCTCAAGACATAAGAAGTTCGGTATGCTCCAACCACTGGAGATACCTTATCGGCCATGGACTTCCATCTCTATGGACTTTATTGTGTGACTACATCAGCAAGATTGTAAATATTCATAAGTCTTCCAACAGTCTCCTGTGTCTCCTGAGGTTCTCCTGAGACATTAAAATGGATTATGATTTTCTGGAAATACAGAAGACACTTTACAGAAATTATTAAGCTTGCTGATGTAGCGGAGTCGAATGAGTTTACAAAGATCTGAGTAATAGTGGACCGTTTCTCGAAGATGGCACATTACATCCCACTTCCTACACGCAAAAAATGGACGATTTGGCTAAGTTGTTCTTGAAGGAAGTCTGGAGACTCCATGGGTTGTCTGATGACATAGTCTCGGACGGAGATAGTCGGTTCATCTCTCACTTTTGGCAATCTCTCATGAGCCTCCTCAATGTGAAGCTAAAGATGTCCACCTCCTTCCATCCTTAAATAGACGGCCAAACAGAAAGAGTTAACCAGACCCTAGAACATTACTTGCGAAGTTATTGTTCATATCAACAGGATGACTAGGCGGACCTCTTGCCATTGGCAGAGTATGCATACAACTCGGTGGTTTCTGAGTCTATCAAAGTATCGGCTTTCTATGCCAACTATGGATATGAACCCAGGACCAACTGGCCGGCTCCAAAGGAAGGTGTTGAATGGAACAACTCAGGAAGCGAGGTCATGATATCTTAATGGGAATCTATCTGGCAGGTTATGAATACAAGTTTGGGAAAGGCTAGATTAAGTATGGCCTGGTGGTATGATACACATGCCCTGGCACCACCTGAAATCAAGCATGGAGACGAAGTAATGTTAGACCGGCGCAATGTACAGACAAAGCGGCCACTGGGAAAATTGTATCAGAAGAAGATGGGACCTTTCAAGGTTTTAGAAGCTATTGGTACTCATGCCTACAAGCTCTCTCTTCCCTCACAAATGGGAATCCACCCTGTCTTCCATGTCTCTCTCCTAGAACCCTACAGAGCGCCAGTAGACCCTGAGAGAAGAGTTCCTCCACCGGAACCTGAGGAAATTGTAGGAGAAAAGAACTGTATCGTCTAGGAAGTAGCTGATAGCCAGGTCAATAAGAAGAGGAGAAGGGTAGAATACCTGGTGCTATGGAAAGGATACGAAAACGAGGACGCTACATGTGAACCCTGGGAACTTCTCAGGAAGAGTGCTGAAGAAGCATTTCGGGACTTTCATATGAGGTATCCTAAGAAGCCAAGAGACAAGAGGACTCTGAGGCTATAGTTTTCCTTTGGATTTCGTCCTCTCTTTTACCATAAAGATTCCTTTGTCACATAGATAGCAATAGAATAAAAATCATTTAATAGATTTCGGAGACTAAAATACTGGAAGAGAGGAGTAGTGTAACAGCCACTTCAACTGTTTGGTATATGAGTACACACAGGGCACAATTATATGCTGAGAGTTATTGATACAAGGCAGTTGCACAGTGATATGTAAGTACCGGCAGTGTGGTTAGCTACCAGCTGTTAGAGCAACTACATTCTGAGTGCTAGGAAGAGGATCTACTTATGGGATTAAAGACTGATGAGTCTATGCCCCATCAATGATTAGAAGGCCAGCCGGAGTGAAGCTCTGAGTACTCAGCGATACTCTAAACCCTTTGAGCATTATAAGCCCACTGGTAATCGTAGAGACTATGGCTGGAAAAGTCTATAATAAGTGGAGAGCTTTACAGCAACGATTAAGCTTACACTTGAGTAGCAGTTCATTCATGCAGGTCCCGGTTGTGCAATGACTAAGAGTGCAGATGTTACAAAGGCTTTGACTATTGATAGTTGCCTTCGGAACTGGAAGCACCCACTAACGCTTAGAAAGAAATGAGGTAGCTGTTGTATTACTTTCCTTCGGCTAGAAGGCATCACTGGAACTTACTAGTAGTAAGGAAGTAGGAGCATGGAATGAAATTCTTTGTAGTATAAGTACTCAGGATTCTTCCTGCCCAACTACCCAATTTTACTCAGTCTTCAGAAGATATCAAGTATTCTATTTGGTAGCAGAGCCCTTAAAGATTATTGAGTTCTAGCGACAGTATCTTCGAATAATCTGCACTTGATTTCTATCTTGCACAGCCATATCTATTCTATTGGATTCTAGCCATACATAGATAGACTGCCCCCGTTACACACTGGCCCTTACAGCCCAAAATGAGGTTCTGAGTACTCATCCTTAACCCCTGATACTGTTTCACTTTGTTCAGTCTTGGTACATTTTACATACAAAAATACACAATTTCAATTTCCTAAGGCTTTACAACCTAAGGCTTTACAATCCAGACAGATATTAAAATTCTGGAAAAATAGAACAAAAGTTCATCACTATTACTATACTTTTATTTTTCCACTTTTTTGATATCATTTTTAATTTTGGTGGTGATGTTATAACCGGTCACTTTGTGTTACCTTTCAGAGTGGGCGCACCATACTAATATCTGTGAGTACTTATGTCATATCTAAATATCCCTATGCCAGGTGCCGGATCCGGAGAAAATCTAGAATGCAAACATGATCATGGCGTGGGCTCAACCTAAGGTTAACACGGCACTTATTGCATAAAGCTTAAGTAATGCCATCTTAGCCTAGATGTAGGTCTATCAGTACATAGAGTACATCATACATGTATATATAGTCTCGCACCCACCTCACCCGAGTAGCTTGATGCTCGCAGCTACTTCAAATACTTCTACCCCAGATCGACCGTTAAATATTGCCCCCCGCTTACTACGTGCCAAAATAATAGTCTAGAGGGCAGCTCATAGGGCTTTATTATAATTTCATCGCTCGGCTGGCGTTACGAAAAGAAATTATGGCAGGCTTCTAATATTCAACAATCGTATAATCCAATGCTGGATATTTTTTTTGTTCTCGAGATGGTGTTCAAGATTTCGAGCATGATTATGAGTTCCTCGAGTACATCCGGTTCAATTGAGCGGTTAATTATACCTAGTGGTACGTATCAGGTTAATCGACTCAACATTCTAATTCCCTGACATAACAGTGGACGGGCCCGGGTCTAGGCAAGCCTTTTTCTGCTGCTTTCCTCGGATGATGCATGTTTTAAAAACGGCTAGCTAAGAAATGAAGGTCTCGCGCCAATTCCATCTAGTTACATACCCTTCGGCTTACAGGGTATTTTAACGACAAGAATGCTATACTTATATGTAGTTGATATTGCGAATGCCGATTCATGAATAGAGAGAACCCTCAACAGATATTACAATATTATATTGTAATCATCACAAATGTCGCTTTGTCCGTACATACATCAACCACGATACGGGGGTCAAGTATCGACACAGATACCAGGTCAGTGCTTCAATGTAGATATGTATTGCAAGATCATATTTATTATCTAGATCACTAAAGCTCATGAAGCAGTAATAAAGCCATTCAGCAAACACTCATGTATGATACTACAAGTGCGTGAAGAGATAGCCGCCATCAAAACCGGCACTACTTCGGCGTCCCGGCATTGCAGGTTTGACTGCAATTGAAACCAAAACCGTGGAAAGTTCATTTATATCGACTCTGCACAAAATCCTTTGAAGCGAAGGGGTTTGATCAGTATTCCACAGTGTCTGCCAAGAAAACACCTTTAGGTATGAGATGCCTATCCTATTTTTAGGCCCCTTTCTCATTATATTGTTCGTTATACCGTTGGCAAAACTTGTTTCTCCGCCAGTGTCACTCCAGTATTGTTCTTTTTACGAGTGCGTCCACTCTTCACCCTCCAACTTTCTACGAGTGATATATCATGAACCACAACATCACCCCATACATTTTTCAACGAGTTAATTATTCTCTTAACATTTCAAATATATGGGCTTAGTAAAACACTAACCTCTCAGTTATCTAAAAAGGAGTTCGATACACAGTAATGTAGCGGCCACCCGCTAGATAGGACCGCGAATATGATTTTCGAGAAAGAGGATCGGGGATTGATACTGGCTGATACAGTGGATAAACGAGATTCATTTTTTTCTTTTCATTTTCTAATGGGGAAGCAAGGAGATTACATGTATGTGTCCTCCTGTGCGTCCTCCCTCACTTATACGACGCATCGCTCGGTGATTGTGCGGATGGACATGTGCCACTTTGGGCCGTTGGCTATTGCATACCCGACGGTCGACCTAGACTTCATAGTCTCAGCCCTTTTTTCGATTCCATGGCTATCTAGGGAAAAAGAGGGCGTCGGGGCAAACCAATGACCCGCAACCACTATTCCACTCCCTGGAATCTGTTGACGCGCGAGTGATAGTACATGATCTCCTGCATCTGCAGCTAGCACAACAATCGAATTTCCCAACTGCAAATCAAGCAATCACAAGCCACGAAATATCCCTTATAGCTAGAATATCAGAATCGCAACCGTTTATAAAACCCTCAAGTTTGCTAGCTGACTGGCTGGCTAGGCACATAATAACTAAGCTTCATATCTTGTCACCGGCCATCGGGGATAGCGCTGATGGGAACACCGCATAATTGTTTTTCCAGCCGGGTGCAATATGTTCAGGTTGCTCGTGTTGGAAGGATCGACGATTTCCGAGAACCTGGTTCGGAAGTTTCCAATTCAAACCTACAGTTTCAGGCAACCCGCGATCAATTACCAAAGTACCTTTACTCAACAATGAAGTGGCTGAGTATGTGCATATTACATATATGTATAATTATAATTACTTGCATGCAATATGATAAAGTGATCTCAATATTCGCATTGCAAATTATTAGATAAATAGGTACTTCTCTATAGCCATGCCAACCAACATATCTTCTAACTGCTCCCCTGCGAGACACACGTACGGATACAAAAAAAAAAAAAAATTAGAACATTTGCCCAGAATTTCCCTTTCCCCTCGTGAAAAATAGAAACCATCCTACCGGTCCCCGAGTTATAAAAGCGCCCAAGACCCAGACCGGTAAAATGGAAATAGAGAGGGAAGAAAAAAAAAGCCATCATACATGAAAGAAATCATGAAAACAAAACGCCGGGTAGATATTGATACAACCCTTCCTTCCCTTCTCTTGAGTGTGTCGTGTCTCCTAACATCATAGCCCCATGCATCTTGGTCCAGCATAGAGAACCCCATTTAAAAGCAAAAGCAAAGCAAAAAAAAAAAAAAAAAAAAAAAAAAAAACAGTAAAACAGAAAACATGATAGATCAAGACAAAAACAAATCAACTCTCCCATCCATTTTTTCTCGCTCAAAAAACAGTCAGCGCCTCACTTCCCATGCCTAAAAACTGCCAACGCTTTTTTGAATCTCAGCAGAACACACACGAACACATTACTAGTAGATAAAGATAAACCCCACAACTAGGAAGAGAATAAAAATGAAATCGTGTAAATGAAACTCCCAGTTGACAGACCCATCTATACCGTTTGTGTAGTGCATAACAAGCCCCATGCTAACCCCACGTAATGTAAATGCCCTGCCAATACAAGAAGGCCTGAAGAAGCAAGAAATTCAGGAAAAATATCCATGGCCCGGAAATCGAACAAACAAAGACAGCCATGTAAAAGATGAGAGAACTAATGATAAAATAAAGAAAAAGAGAAAAAGCAAAACCTTTTATGAAATTCGAGAAATATTGCGCCATGTTTTTAACCCTTTCCGTTTCTCCCTTCCTTTTTTATGCAAGAAGATGAACAAACCTCACTTTTTTTTTCGCGATCTAGGAAGAAAAAAAAGGCCCAAACATACGCAACGCCGTGATGAGATGCTTACCACCAAGAGTTCCCTCCACTAGGGTTTCCATATCCTCCTCCACCGCCACCACCGCCGTATCCGCCGGAACTGTAACCACCACCGCCACTACCACTAGCACCTCCGCCATTAGAGTATCCTATGAAAACCGAGTTAGTATTGCTAACGTACCCCAACCGATGGAAAGGGTGACAAACCGCCCCCGTACCCTCCGCTAGGAGGGCCACCAGACCCACCAAAACCTCCACCAGAACCACCACCACCGTATTTCCTGAAATCGCGGGTAGCACCACCCCTTCCCCTGCCACCACCGGAAGATCTTCCACCGCCGCCACGCCCACCACCACTGAATCCACTTTCTCTAGCGATGGTCTCCAAAAATGAAGGGACCTCTTGGTTGGCTTCCTTTAGGAGCTCGATAAGGTCCCTCACAACACCACGGTTGCCACGGTTGAAGAACGCGGTGGAAATACCGGTGTTACCGGCACGACCAGTACGACCAATGCGGTGGACATAATCGTCGATATCGGTGGGGAGATCATAGTTAACAACGTGGGTGACATTGGGAATATCGAGACCTCTGGCGGCAACAGCAGTGGCAACGAGCACCGGGCAGCGACCAGTTCGGAACATTTCCAGAGCACGCTCACGTTCGCGTTGAGTGCGGTCTCCGTGAATGGAAGTTGCCGGGAAATTCTGGTTAAGAAGGAAATCACTCAAAGAATCGGCCATACGCTTAGTCTCTACAAAAATAAGAGTGAGACCACCGCTGTGGGTGTGAAGAATGTCCAAAAGAACGGAACGCTTGTCTTGGTCTTCAACATACTCAACCTTTTGGGTGATGTTTTCGGAGGTTGAACCGACACGACCGACCGAAAGGAAGATGTAATCCTTCAAGAAATCTCTAGCAAGCATCTGGATATCCCTTGGGAAAGTGGCCGAAAACATGAGAGTTTGGCGAGCGTCTGTTTTAGGCATGTCCTCGCCCTCAACGATACGACGAATTTGGGGTTCGAAACCCATATCCAGCATACGATCAGCCTCGTCAAGCACGAGATATTTAATATTGGCGAGCGAGATACGTCCACGTTCAATCAAGTCAACAAGACGGCCAGGGGTTGCGACGAGGAGATCACAGCCGCGCTCAATCAGTCGTAATTGGGAGACGATGTCGGCACCACCATAGACGACACAGGGTCTAACCCATGAACGGTAGGCAAACTTGCGAGATTCTTCGTAGATTTGAGAGACAAGCTCGCGGGTCGGCGCCAAGATAAGCGCTGTAGGGTAGGCTTTACGCTGGCGTCCGTAACCACCGTAAGCAGCGGCGTTGGCCGGGGGAGCCGATGGACCTTGCAAAAAGGATTGCGAAAGGATAGGGAACAAGAAACCACCAGTCTTTCCAGAGCCTATGAACAGTCAGCACATAAACTCTCTAGTACTATCAGATAGCATGAGGAACTGACCAGTTTGAGCACAAGCCATTAAATCTCTACCACCCATGACAATAGGAATTGAATACTTCTGCACAGGAGTAGGGTTCTTGTAATGCGCCAAATCGATATTGCCCAAGAGATGGGTATCTAGCGGGGGACTTGTAAATGTAGTAACCGGCTCGGGAACATCGTGACCAGATGCTTCTACAGGAATGTCATCGTACTTTTCGAAATTGATCCCAATATTCTGTTTGGTTGGGTCGTTAGGTACACCGAACAGTTCCCGTTCTAAACGTTGGTTTGCAGGACCAGGAATGTGTTTTCCATCGACCCAGCGCCCGTCTCCGGAGCCACCGCTCCTTCCGGTCGGGGCACCATATCCATTCGGGTCGAAAGAACGTTGAGGACGAGGCGGGGGAACATCCCATCCGCTACCACCAGTAGAAGCTGCGGCACTGGGAGTGAAAGTGGGTGCGTTGGCCCAGCCATTAGCTTGAGGAGCTCGAGCAGGAGGGGCACTATTAGAAGAATCAGCATATATAATTTCGTATTATATTTTTGGCAAAGCAGATTCGAGATTGAATAATAACGGATAACATCACAATGATTAATGAATTGAGAGCAAGAAACCCATTTTTTAAGAGGGCAAATTACAACACTGCAATTCTGTATGTTTGTCTCATTACAAGAGAAATCTCGATGAGACAAAATACAATGCCCAAGAGTGGCAAACAAAAAATATCGAACAAGAAATGTAAAAACATACTCAGCACTCCATCTTGATCCCTGGACACCATTAGCAGCGCCGTTTTGCACTGCAGTAGGACCAGAAGGGGGAGCAGCAGCTGGTGCTCTATGAGCGTTCCTCATGTGCGGAGGAATATAGGCGGCCCTCTTCTGTTCGCCACTTCCAGAGGAATGGTTAGAGGCCCCCGAAGAAGGCGCGGCTTCGGCGTGAACAGATTCATTCATGCCCAAACCTTGCATACGTTGATTAAGATCAGCTGCCATAATTACGAGAGTAATGATTTGGCACGTATTTGATGTAAAACTATCGTGTTTCCGTGTTTTGTTCTGGGATGGCGGCAGGAATCAGGAGAAAAGACGGTTCCGGACTCCTGTGTATGTCGGGGAAAGAAAGAAAAAAAAGATGGATCTTTATCTGTCCTTCCGTCCAAATAGATGATTCGTAACGTCTTAAAAGAAGGAACGATAGGAACAAAAAAGAGAAACAGAACTCGAGATGAAAAAGAAGGACCACTTGGTGAATTATCCTGCTCTTTTGACAGATGAACTGAAAAGGGAAGGGGAAAGAGAAGTAGTAGTTTTTTTTTTTTCAGAGGAATGGGGGGAGAGGGGAGATGTTGAGAACGTAGGGGAGATAGAGAGGAAAGGAAGAGGAAGGGAGGACGATTACTTCAGGCAAGCGAAGAAAAGGGTGAAAAAGAAAGAAAAAAACTATTATGACCGTGAAACGGAAACGAGCTGACTAACGGAGCCTCAACGAGGACGAAAATTTGCGGTTTCCTGCTTCGTGAACTGGCCAACCACCACATGGCCAGCGGCAAAAAAAAAAAAAGCAACCACGATTTGGATAAGGAGGATGTGGCTGCTGTAGTTCGACGGGGTACTTCGGGGGGCGGGAGTCAACTCGTCAGCAATGCCTGAGCCAGCAATACATGCTGTAGAGTACAGTAGGTACCTACCGCCACGCATACGTATATACTGTAGAACAGGGAATACTCTACTTGGGTATAGATATCATAATGTAGATGTTGGATTTCTTAAGAGTTAATCGAATACATGTAAACCAGGGGTGCGCCACCTCGCGACCCCGAGTTGTTAGATGATTAAGTAAATATCTAATAAATATATAATTATAACCTGCATATGCAATGTGCTTTTATAGCCTTCTGATTGGCTCATTGAGAGAGGATTTGTTTCACTTGAATCATGTTGTATTAGATATTAACATAGGTTATTAATTTTACTGAGTGGTATTAGGTTAACATGTATTCTACTGGTTTTGAAAATCGATTAGTGATTCGATTTTAGCGACTTGGTTGCTATTAAAGTTATATACTTGCAGCTTGAACTGCTGATATATAGGTGATATCAGAAAAGACAAATATTGACCAGAACATATCTGGATATAGTGATGGACTTTGCCTGTCAGACAAATAGAGAAAATAGGCCACAACACGGCTTGCCTGTATATCCGAGTATTTGATGTATCTATAGTATCGATCGAAAGCCAGAAACTACTTGTACAATATATATGTAGAGAGAACTGCTTCCACCCTTCCTCCTACTTTTTCAATCCCCAATTCATTCTTTCCACCTCCTCCAGCTCCCCCTTCAGCTCCAGCTCCCTCTCCATCAGCAAGCTTAACAATTTCTGTAAAATATCTCCTGAGTCTCCAGAGAATCAAAATCCGTTTGATGTCTCAGGAGAGCCTCAGGAGATTCAGGATACTGTTGGGAAACTCATGAATATGTACAAATGTAATGGCAGCTATGTAGTTCGGCTAGACAATATATTGGAACGTGAATAGTAGGTATTGTGCAGGGGGATTAGGATTTGTAATGGGGATTTCTAGTATGTTCTTTCGGTTTCTATTACGCAGAAGTATGAGTCATCATCGGACAATGGTATTAGATATATAAAGGGGTGTTGTCTCGTGTTATTTCTTGTTTCCTTTCCTTTCCTTTTCTCTTCACGCAACCATTGTACCTTACCCTCGCAACACCAAAACTTTCGATCAAACAATACTTTTGGCCTGCATTCCCGATAAAACTTTTACACGAAAACGATCCTATATGTCAATAGACCGTGTAATCTATTGGTACCTTATCGCAAATCTGTTCGTAAACAAAATCATTCACGCTCTAGTTCCTGAGTTGTGAAATCCTCACCCCTCATCAGAAATACCTGCTAAGCGAGAACAAACAAACTCGCGATAACAACAACGAACTGGCATCGTCAACAAACTTCCAACCGACTACCCCCCCAAACTTTGCCGGCAGAAAGAGAACCCTATCAGAGGTCTCCCCCGCACCAAACCGCTCTAGGACATCAGTAATGTCCCAAAAAGCCTCACTCGGCTCGTGGTTCGTGGGGACACCCCCCCGGGCACCCCAGCACCTCCCCGCTTCGCCGACACCCAGACCCAACCCACCCAACACCCGTAACAAACCCAATCGACCACCATTGAACAAATCCAGATCATGAACAATGAGCTCTTCTCGGTTTTCGCAGAACATTCGCAATATACAGAACCATATGCCCCCAGATTTGACTACATCCACCCAAGCATTGTCCCAGAAGAAACCCACGCCAGAATGGACCTAAATTATATTTCTTGGGTCGTCAGAAATGCACTAACCATCACAATTGAACCACTCAAACACTCAATCGACCAAACCAATAACAAAATCAACAGCAGCCACGAACTCTTAATCCAACAAAATGAGGCTCTGAAACATACTGTCGATATTTTGGAAAAACAGCTATTCGAAATGACAAAGAACCAAGACAAACAATACGAAAAGCTACACAGGATCCAACACCAGACCTCCCTCCTCCTCAACTGCCCCGGCCCCGCACAAGTAACCATACCCTTCCCGCCACCCGCTCTCCCCAAGCCCCCCAAGCTCCCCCCCCAGAGAACAGGACACCAGCCAGAGCCAACCCGGTCAACCCGCCCAACCCGCCCAACCCAAGCAACCTACCAGCCCAGAAGCCCTACGCCGCTGCCGCTGCAAATGCCTCGAACTCAGAATTCACAACGGTCACCAAGAAAAGGAACACCAAACACAAAGCAGACCCCATGTTCAAACCTGAAATCACTAAACTCAACCGGGAGATCGTAGTTGAGACGAACAAGGAACTGACAGTCACCCTATCGGATATTAGAGCTAAGATTAATGCAAAAATCCAGGACCCTGACTGCCAACTAATCGCCGCCCGGAAAACTACCAAAAACAACATCATACCGGAATCAAAATTCGCAACCCCAGCCACGAAGGTTCTGGAATATGAAAAAGAAATTGAAACCGCAATAAACGAACTGAAAATACCCTTCGTCGACATCCGGGTAAACTCCAGATGGTCAAAGTTCATCCTCCATGGCATCCCCACCTCCATAGGCGAAGCCTTCGATGCAGGACAACTACTAGTCTCGGAAATCAGAAATAACTACGGAAACACCTTCGAGTTGGCACAAATCCCGAGATGGCTATCCAAACTAGAAGACAGGATCGGAAAGTCTCATTCTTCAATGATCATCGCCCACTCCGGACAATTCACCAAAGACAACCTCGGACTCCGATACCTCACCCTCTTTGATAGGAACTGCAAAATCGACAACTATCTCCCAGCAAACCCGGAAACCCAATGCTCCAAGTGCCTCGAGTATGGCCACAGACAAAAACGATTCTCCCACCCCAACGGAAGATGCGGACACTGTGCCGAAGAACACCAAACCAAAGACCACCCATACACAGAATGCGCCGGAGGCTTCAGATGCTCACACACACCTATCCGATGCTATCACTGCAAGGCCCCCCACAAAGCAACAGATGCCAACTGCTCAGAACGAACCAAAGTGCGCATCACAAACAAACTCAGACCAGACACAAACCCAAGCCCACTACCAATACCCATAGTTATCCCAGCCTAAGACTGCCCACACATCAGCAAGATTGTACATATTTATGAGTCTCCCAACAGTCTCCCAGGTCTTCTGAGGTTCTCCTGAGACACAAAACAGATTTTGATTCTCTGGAGACTCAGGAGACACTTTACAGAAATTGTTAAGCTTGCTGATGCAGGAAGATGCAGCCATGGATAACTCCCAATGAGTTACAACAAAAGAACCACTGCTATCGCACAGCAACTGAACTGCGCGAAAAATGAGCTCACAACAAAGTCAGTAGTGGAGGAAGCAGAACAGGACCACAACATACTCTTTCTTTTGTTACAAGAACCATGGAACAACAAAGACGGCCACCCACTGGAATCCCCTCTTTTCTATCTATTTACAGCCAGCAACAAGGGCACCAAAGCAGCCACATACATCAGGAAACACGCCAACCTGAAACCAAAACACCATTACACCCACAACAACTTCATCGTCTCCGTCACGGTGGAAATCCAAAACCAAAAACACAAATCCTCAATATATACTCACCGGGGCGAAGTGGACCCTTCGCGGAAATCTCCCCACAAATAATCACCTTCCAAAACTGCCTCATCATGGGGGACTGTAACAGTCACCACCAACTCTGGTATGGACATAGATCCCACGACTAAACCAACACGATCATACCAGACCAATCCGGATCTAAGTAGCTAAAAAGATTGATCGATCGACAAAGTCTATCCCTACTCAACGAATCTGGCGAATTTACGCACTTAGCCAGGAACAACAACAGACCGACCATCATCGATCTGACACTAATCAAAGGAACAATCCTGGACTACGACATCCGCTGGAACATCGACCGTCACGGCGCAGGCTCCGACCATGGGAAAACCATAATACAACTACGGATAGAAAAACCCCCCCACACACCCAAAAGGCTATGGCACCGAACAAACTGGGGAAAATTGGAAGACAACATCTCAGGCCTCCACTTCCCCCCCGAGGCGTGGGAATGCCAGAACCACACAAAGCAATCGGTCGACTTCATACTTGAACACATAGATAAACTAATGGATGAAGTCACCCCATGGAGCCAAGGACACATTACATCCAAGAAATGGTGGACCCCGGAGCTAAAAAGGCTCAAAACAATCCTCGATACATTGGAAAAGAAAGCCAGAAACACCCAAAAGAACGAGGATAGAGAACCATTCAGGAAAAGAAGCAGAAAATGGACCTGATCGATCCGCAAAGCCAAAGCAGAACAAAGAGAGAAAGAACTTATGGAGGCCAAAGAAAGTACCATCTGAAAATTAGTCAATGCAGGAAGAAGAAGGGACATTACAATCCCAATCATACAAGGTG